TGAGGGTAACGAGGCTGACCTCGTGGGTGTGGTCAGGGGCAGAGAGAACACAGTTTCTGGTACGGGCCTGGCAGACACAGTCAATGCACACAACCTAATATTAGCATCACAGGTGGGCCCTGCCCACACAGAGGGTCATTAGCCCCCAGTCCATTCCAGTGACACACAAACACGCATGAACATTCACATACACACACACACTCATATACACACAGATACATATACACACACTCACACGTCTGCACCCACATGCTCACATACTAAGCAATGTGTCTTTTTTACCTGTCTGCTTCTGACACCAGGGCAATGCGGCCATAATCCCAGAATCTTCTTCTTATGATGGAAAACACCAAGATTAAAAGCTAAAAGTAGAAAAGAAACCAAGTAAAAGCATATTGGATGGCTTCTAATTAGAAGAGACAGCTACGTCAGGGCAAGGCCCACCTGCCCAGACTCCGCAGTGCTAGAAGGAAATCATTCAGAGAGGGCACTGAGCTGCCCAAGGCCACACAGCTCAGTGGCCCGATGCTTTGCTCACCCCCTTCACCAGCTCCTGCCCCCTATGTCCCAGCCACCAAGGCTGGCGGTGCTGATGCCAAGCTTGCCCGCAGCCCTCCTAGTCCTGCACGTCACCCCAGTCCTTTGCACTCAACACAGTGTCAACACGGCAAGGGCCTCGTCTCTTCTCAGCCCTGATCTTCCTTCAGCAGCCCTGAGCAGGAAGGCAAGATCTGAATTCACAGCAGCCCTGGGGACCAGCTCCCTTCTTCACTTTACATACAATTTCCTTTTCCTTTTATTTTTATTTTTAGAGATTGGGTTCCACTCTGTCACCCAGGCTGGAATGCTGGAATTACTACTCACTGCAGCCTCAGACTCCTGGGCTCAAGCGATCCTCCTGCCTCAGCCTCCAAGTAGCTGGGACTACAAGTGTGTGCCACTGTGCTTGACTAATTTTTATATATTTTTTGTAGAAACAGGGTCCTACTATGTTGCCTAGGCTGGCCTGAAACTCCTGGCCTCAACCAATGCTGGGATTACAGGCATGAGCTACCGCTCATGGCTGAATTTTATTTTTATTTACAGAACCAAGGTAGCAAAGCCACCCCAGGCTGAGCCAGAAATGGTCAGATTTTTACTTTGAGTTTGGCTCTCCTGAAGGCAAGCCCTTTGGACCCGCAGCACAGAGCACGTGGGCAGCAACGCCCAGCGACGGCTCCGGGCTGCCTCGGCCTCAGCGAGCTGGGACAGGCTCCCTGGACAGACTCCCTCCCTTCAAGATTCAGGGAGGTGCAGCGACGCATGTTAATAAGCACACCTCCTGACCTGCTCTGGGCAGACCCTGGGCTTTCAAAGGTGGGTTTTGTTTTCCTGAAGGAAATCCAGAGGACTTGAACCCCACAGGCACTGAGTTCCCGTGGGATTTTCTCAGGATGAATCAGGAAGTTGGTGAGATATTTTCAAAGGCAGGTGAGTCATGTTGCAGGAAAACACCAAGCCTGCTCAGGAGGTGCCTGCCCTGCCTGCCACGCGGCTGCTGTCTTCGCATGTGCAGTGTGGACATTTCCCACACATCCACGCTTGCCGGGACCCTCTGGCTCTTCTGTGTCTCCCCTGACCCCATAACTTTCTGCGATAAAAATCCAGCCCCATACTCCTGCCTACTCCTTCCTCTTAACCAAGGCTGGCATATACGACAGTGTTCTCAACTTACGAGTGAGTTTGAGCTCCCAGAAGTGCATTATCTGGTACTTAGCTCTTTTCCATGAAAGCAAAGCGGGTAGCATGCAGGCTCCCACATCAGCCCCCAGAGAACCCGCACCGTAGCAAGACTCGGATGCAACAATTCAGATCTTAATCCTAGGCAGGAAGGACAGAAGGAGAACACTCTCCTCCCTTTCCATCAACATTTTTGGTGCCAGCCCACTTGTGTTTGGTGTCCTCCCTCCCCAGCCCCAGGGCTGCTGCCCCCAGGGACCGGGGCCCTCATGCTACCCTAACTGCCCCTTCTCAGGTCCCCCGCCCAGGCCTAGTCCCCATTCCCAAGCAGTCCCCATTCATTCCTAAGGTCTCTGCTACATGTTAGGAGATGGCATCCAGCAGGACTGGCCATCCCATGGGCATTTGTGAAAAGAAGATGCACTTTAACCTCGATAAATCTCAACTAGCCAATGCTGAATCCGTATAAGGAGGAACAATGACATATTTCAAATTGGGGGCATCTTTGTGCACAAGGAGAGCTATATTGAAGAAAGGCCACCTGCTGAGGGTCAGCTCTCAGAGTCAGCTTCTGATTCTTTAAAAACCCCAGGGACCCCAGAGGGGAACGGAGGGTGACATTTCGGAATTGCAACTGCTCTGATTCTAGTCCACACCCTCCATTCACATCTCACATCCCGGTGAGACGGACCTTTCCCAAGGGCCTCAAAGACACAACACGCTGATAGCTCTGCAATAACGGCACGAATCGAAGGCGCAGCTGCGTGCGCTCTTCACGTGCACGGCCTTGTCCAGTGTCCTCCAAGGTAGGAATTATCGTCTCCGTTCCCCAGAGCAGAAACCTGAGGCCCACATAAGCTAGGTAACACTCCAAGGTCACAGAGCTGGCAAGCAGCTGAGTCGGGCTTTAAACCCAGGTAGGGCTGAGTCCTCACCTGAGCTTCCCAGAAGGCCCTGGGTGGGGAATTGAAACAAATCACTGGGGGGCTGGGAAGGGGGAAGAGTGGATGTGATTCACGAGAGTTCTTACCAGAAAGCAGATGACATCTATAAGCAGGACAGTGGGGATGCCACCGAAGGTGACCCCCTGGAGCACGGTGCTGTTTTTGGCCGAGTTGTAGCAGTAAGAGTCATTGGGCCGGTCCCCGAGGCCCAGGCGCTCGCGGGTGGACGCCGCCTCGGACTGCCACAGCTCCAGGAATGGGGAGTCGGTCATCACGGTTGTCCTCCCTGGAGGCAGGACAAGGCGATGGTCAGGACTCGACTTCTCCTGCAGTTTCCCCAGCCAGTACTGACACAGCCAAAGGTAGGTAGGTATCTATCTGCTGCAGGGACCGGCGGGCACAGGGAGCCAGCAGCGAGGGATCGGGGAGGGCCGCACACCGCACCCTGCGTGCCTGGCAGCGTCCACAGAGAACGGCTCCATTGTGGAAACAGTGCCAGACGGTCAGATGGCCGGAGCGGATGCCTCACCCGGGACACAGCACGCAGGCGCCCCAAAGGGGGTGAGCCTGGAGAAATGGGGGACAGAAGCTGCCGCAGCCCCTAGCTTTAGAAATCCTGAAGTTCCTCGAGCCTCAAGCACCACTGCTGGGAAAGTAACTCCCGAAGGAGCCACTGGGAGATCCAGACTACAGGCAGGGGACGGGGCAAAGGCACACGAATGCAGAGAAGACGCGACACGGGTTAAACAAACGGGCAAGGAGGGAACATTCACGTATGCACGATGGTCCCCCCACATGAGCCTCAGACGAGACCTGGCGCCCACTGTTCGCAGACTGTCAGAGCTGGGACCTCAGAGACAGGGTCCCATTTGATATACTTGGAAACTGAGGCTCAGGGGTTTAATAACCTTCCCCACGATTAAGGAGATATTCAGGGCAAAATTGAGTCCCGAACCCGGCCTCCTGACTCCCAGATGCCAGCTCACTGTGCCACGCCCCTCACAACCCTGGCTCACACCCCTGTTAGTTGATCGAGACACTGAAGGCGGGGGGTAAGGAGACAGAGGAGAAGGTGAGGCGGTGGTCCAGGATGGGAGGGGGAGGGAGTCTGACTGCAAGGTCCGGCATTTCCAAAGCAAACACGGCTCCAGGCTGGGTTGCTGACCTTCCCTTCCTGAGGCTCCCGCCACCCCTGGTAAAGCCAATGGAACTCCCCAGTGTCTGTCCCAGACACCAAAGGCCCAGGAGTAGTGCCCAAGGTCTGGCCTGCTCTTCACACTGTCTGTGGCTGAAGGGCCAGGGGAACGCTCACCCCCTTCCTTAAGCACCTGCCTCCCCAGATCTGGTTGAACTACAATTCCCAGGGACATCTGCTAAGTCTGGTCTTTCTACCTGGTACAGGGACAAAAATCTTAGCGACAAGAAGAGAAAGTTTAGAGAACCCAAACAGATGTCTGGACTGCCTGGTAACGGTGCAGTGGGGTACGTGTTGGGAGGTGATTCCCAGTTCTCAGCCTGGGACTGCAGTGCTGGCGTCTCTGTCTGTCTGTCCCTCTTTCGTGCACACACGCACACACACGATAGGAAGTGCAGGAGTGCAGGAAGACTGGGTGGCAGGCCCAAAGGCCTGGGAGCATTCCCCAGAAGGCCAAGTCACTTCCTCATCCCTGTAAGAGACTTGGCAACCGCCAGAGGTAGTGGGGATTGTGATGCCAGAGCCATGGAGTTGGTGGCTCTGAACAGTCACGAAAGCCAGTTCTGGGACACAGATGTTCTTGGCTTCCCTTTAAACCCTACCCAGTGGCACCACCCCAGCGGAACACCCCAGCCCGACAGCGTGAGGCCAATACCTGCCCCTCCTTCCTGTCCGCACACTCACCAGATGCCAGGGGCAGGAAGGACGGCGGATGGCCCGGTGGAGAGGGCCTCACTGGAGCTGTGTCTGCCAAAGGCAAAAACAGCCCTGGCCACCTCCCAAGCTGCTGGGGGCCAGGCCTCGGGCCGACACTCATCTCCTGCAAAGCTCTCCTGACCACGGGGTCCTGGGGCACCAGGGTTTACAGACTTTGCTGAACAACACAGATGCACAATGTCCCATGGGAGCTGCCTTTTCCCAGTTTAGAGGTCTGGATAAAAACCCTTCAGCATACCCCCCTGCACTCATACCTGCCCAAAGGTCTCTGAACTCAAACACCCACACAGAGCTTTGGGTTCTGCCCAAGGGCTCCCTCCTACCCCGGATCTCTCCCGCAACTGCCAGAACTGGGTCGCCATCCGTCAGAACTCCTGTGCGCCACGCCACTCCTGTCTCCTCAGCCAGCGTCACTCTCTCCTCCAATGGCCCGAGGCCCTGCTGGGGCCGGGGGAGCGGTCCTCTCCCCACAGAAGCACGGGTGGCTGTGGGCTCAAGGTAGGACCCCAAGCCAAGGACCTCACGTGGGCTCCCCAAAGCCCCCCAAGGACGAGAATCAGGACAAGGAACACAGCAGAATAAACAAGGAAGGCTTGAAAGTGAAGTGGAAAGAAAAAACATCCCCATAAAACGCTCACAGAGGGAGCATTGTCCCCAAAGAGGGGAGGGTACAGTGCTGCCGCTGGGGTTGGGACACCCTCGCCAGGGTCACAGAGAACCAGGAAGGCCCAGGGGAAGGAAAGGACTTGGTGGCTCCTCTTCCCCTTCAGCCCCAGTCACGCCTCCAAGTCATTTTCCTCCTGCCAAACAGGCTCCCAGGGTGGGCCTGCAACGCTTGACAGGGAGAACTCGGCGATGTCTGGCCAGCAAATTCCACCCGCCTGGGGCCAGCCTGGGACTCCCTCACCAGGCGGCCTGTCCTGTCTGCCCCCAGGATGAGCACCCAGGCGAGGGCGCAGCTTTGGGTGCCACAGTCTCTCTTAGACCCTTCAGCTCAGCCGTAGCCTGTCCCTGCCCGTTAGACATATAAAGTCCAGATCCTGCTGAAACATCTCGGTCCCTCTGGCGCTCGGTGGGCAGCCCCCTGCACCCCCCAGACAGACACACTCTGAGAGGGTAGCTGGGAACACAGCCACGGGGGAGCCCTGCTAGGCTGCGGAGAAGGTGGGGAGGGAGGCAGTGCTGGGACAGCAGCCAAACCAGCATCGAGGCATGGAGGCTACAGTGGCCCTGCCTGGCCGAGACCCTTGGCAATATTCAGTCCTCCCAGGTATAGGCAAATGTCTAGCACTTATCTACACGCCTCCCAGAAACTCTCCATTCATCACCTCATTCCTACCCAATACGCTGAAGGCAGGAAAGCCACAAATTACTGCCGAGTCCCAGGAGCCAGGGGGAGCAGCAGATGACCTCAGGCCCCCAAACCAAAGTTCAGCCCATGTTCACCCAAGAGTCTGGCTGTAGCCAATGGGATGCGGCTGAAACCGACAGCTGGTCTTGAACTTGCCGCCAAGGAAGTAAACCACCGATGCTAATCCACAGCCCGCTCAAGTTGGCAGCAAGGTCTGGCCGCCGCAGCAGACTTGACTACCTCTTCGCCTCCTTTCCAGAAATGCCAGCAGAATGCTGCAGGAAGTGTTTGAAGGGTTCTTGCAACAAGGCCCCACACAAATTCAAGGTACTTTTGTCATCACCAAAGCTACCAAGCATACAGCAAGACTACAGGCAGCTCCAAGCCTCTGTCTCAGGAGCTAACTCTGATCTTGGAGACGCAGAACAAGGTTGCAAAGTCAGCACACACTTCTCTTATGGCACCACCACACACAGCCCAGGAAGGTGGACAACTGTTTTCCTCTACAGACACAACCCCGGAATACCAAAGAGTTGATAGGGCACCTCGGCAAAACGAGAGGCAGTGTTGCTTGTATGCGAACAGGCTCTGGAGTTAGGGTCTCAGCACCGTGCAGCTTAGGCAAGTGGCTTAACCACTCCGTGCCTTGGCTTCGTCCTCCATAAAATGGGGGTGACGGCTTTCTCTCTTAGGGCTATTGGGAGACACAGACCCAATACAATGCCTGCAAAGCACTTAGTCCAGGACCTGGCCCTCCTGAGTGATCAAAAGCTGTTTGCTTTTATTTTAAGTCACGGCTCCAGCTAATGAGGAACACAAGGGCAGGCCCCCACCTGATGTCTTCTCTGTTAGAGCCCGATGAACAGCCAGGAGGGACCTTCGCCCCAACACTAAACAAAGGAGAGGGGTGTGTGAACGGAAAAGGAGGCTTCGGCTTCTGTTCACATCCTCCTTAAGGCATAGCAGGCTTGAGGACATCCGGACAGCTGTCGGAGGAGGGGAAGGAGGAAGCCAGCAGGGTATGCAGGAGGCGGAGGGGAAATAGGAGCGGTTTCTCCAGTAAGGGACGACTGTCTTTCCCCATCCCCAGTGGGTGTCTACAACCCTGCAGGAGGCCGCGGCCAGAAAAGGCCCCAGAACACCTCCCACAGCAGCCTGTACTGGTGAGCACGGTCCCTTGACTTAATCGTCAGGAACTCTCAACAACATAGCGGCTGGGACACAACCGCAGAGTTTCGGGGCTGGAAGGAAGCTTGGAAGTCATTTGGTCCACCCCGCTGTCGACCGCTGCCCTTGAGGACACCTCCTGGGGCTGAAAGACGGAGGCCAGCCCAGGCTCTCAGGTAGCCAGTCTTATCAGGTGCCCGCACCTCCGCGGATTTGGTTTCTCAGCGGAGGTCCCCTCAGCCTCCCGCCCCGCCCCTCTCCCACCTCCCCAGCCCCCTCCGCCCGACTCCGCCAGCACTGCCAGGAGCGGTCACTGGGCGACGGCCTGGAGGTGGCTTCTGCCTCGCCAG